CAGAAAAATGGATGCATGTGGTACCTGTCAAATCCTACAACACTCAAGCTTCTTTCCCCTGTAGCTACAGCTTCACCTTCCTTTTAACTCTGTCAAGAGATTTTAAAAGCCATTGTTGCACCCTGGAGTCTTGAGAAGTTGAGATAAGCATATGGAGTTAGCAGACACAGTAATGATATGTTTAACTAGACAGTATCCTTAGGATAAGCTGAGTTCAGAATAAGAAGTACAGATTCCTAGAGGCAGAGAAAGTTTCTTTGGATGGAAGCTACAGCTCTTAAGATTCCAACTAACATAGTTTGAGAATGTTACAGCCCTCTTATTTCCTTTTCAGCAGCTACTTCCTCAAACATACCTATCCTGACTCTGTACTACTCACACTTTCCATAATCCCTCGACACGGTGATTATATCACTCACTGTATTGCAATGCTGCAATAAAAATTATGACAGGCATAAAGTGTGAGGAGCAGGGAACAAACCTCACAAGACAAATCAGGTTTCATAAGCAGCTGAATATTTTCCTATATTCTTTACATTGAGAAGTAACAGTCTTTAATTAAATTGGTAAGAGATGATAAACAGAAATTAAAAGGTACAGTGACTAAAGTAAAATCCATGCAAGCTGTGAATGGACAGGTCTAACCTGTATTAACACTAATCTGTCATCTCTGATGTCCACAGGAAGGTGATGTAAATTTTCTGATGTTATAAAGTTATATTTTATGGTGATCGTAGGTCCACTATATTAAATTTACTCAACCTTTAATGGAAAACATTCTTCAGAATTAAAAAAAAATGGTAGTCTTTGCTCAGAAGACAATTTGGAAAAAGCTTGCATAGAAACTGAATTACTTCTCATATCATCTAATGAATCTTGAATTATGACTGTCTGCATTCTGTTCTCTGCCTAAGATAATTGCTTTCTTAGTTTAAAACTGTATACCCTAAAATTAAAAATATGTAGTTTTAAAGTATTATCTGCTTTTTTTAAGGTTTTCCTGCAGCCTTCATAAAGTGCACTTTTTATTATGTGTACCACAGTTTCTTAATGTTCCTTCAGAGGCATATTCATATCCTGACGGGTTCAAATAAGGCTCTAGTCCACTGATGCTGAAACAGAGTTTTAACCACAGTGGCTATCAGATTACTTTCATCCCTCCTTTTCACAGAATACTCCTAAGAATATTTAACCCTTATGATATAAGTGTGATATGATATCATGACATACAGAGTACAGAGGATGAAGAACAGGCCACTTTGTGATGAGGAGACTACAATGGATTGGGCACACACCCAGGTCCCAATCCACTGAGGTCAAGAACCTATATACTGTACTGACAACAAGAGAAGAGGAGCACCCTAATGGTTGGGGAAAAGGAGCCTCTGCCCTGAGATTGGAATCTCATTTCCTCCACACTCAAGAGTAGAAGAAATGGGATGTTGATGGCTGTGAATTCCCTTCTGAGGGAATGGAGGCATCAATCTGCTGACCTATCATGATGTCCTAGGTGATATGCTGCCTGCTTGGATCCTATGTCCGATACATTACAGAATAGTTGTCAAGATTCATTCTTCTCACCCATTCACGTGGGAACTAACGATACTACCTATAACTCAGAGCATATCAGCATTGACTACAGTGCTCTGTGAACGAAGGTGAAGGAGGTTATTCTTGGGCATCCCTCCCAATTTCTGCATGAAGTACAGGCAGGGAAACAAGGGAGGAGACTGCATTAATAATCAAGTGTGTGTGTGTCTAGTTGAAGCCCTCTAGCTGAAAAAAACAGGAGTGATATCTTTGTAGACGTATATTACAGATGACAAAATCAGGAGGAGGATGTGAATGAGGTATTTTTAGAACTAAAATACCCAGAACACAAAACCTGGTATTAATGGGGGACTGTAGCTACTCAAACATCTGTTGGAAAAGTACTAAGGGAAAATACAAAATGGTTCTTTGAATGTACTGGGAAAAGAGAGTTACTCACCCTGTGCAGTAATGGGAGTTCATAGAGATGTGTGTCCCTATGGGTGTTCCATTGTGGGTCCTCGCACTAGCAACTGGAGATTTTTCTAACAGTGCCCTGCAGCACTGCGCATGTGCAATAGCATCTCTTTGTGCGATGCCCCTATTCCTTCTTTACTTTGGTTCTGGCCCTGAAAGAGGCTCCAAAGAAGAGGAAGGAGGGAGGGTAGTGGAGCACCCACAGGGACACACTTCTCAAAGAATCCCTGTTACAGCACAGGGTGAGTAACTCTCTTTTCTTCTGCAAGTGATGTCCCCATGGGTGCTCCATTCAGGGTGACTACAAAGCAATGTTTGTATTGTAGAGACGGGTCTGGACACCTACCCCGAAAATTGTGGACAGCACTACTTGTTCCACTGGATGTTGCTGGGGAAATTGCAGAGGTAAAAGTGTAATGTTTTGTGAAGGTATGGTGGGAAGACCACATTGCCACTTTACAAATCTCTTCTGGTGGGACATTGTTCAGGAAGGCTGTGGTGGAAGCCACCGCTCTGGTGGAATACTTAAAAACTTAGCTAAAGCAATCCCGGGACAGTCCACAACATTCTTAGAGAACTCATGGAGGAGGGATGAAGTCCCGAAGGACTGGACAAGTGCAAACATAGTACCTATCTTGAAATGCAGAGTAAAGAGGACCTGAGGAATTACAGACCAGTCAGCCTAACTTCTGTTCCTGGAAAGAATCTGGAAGAAATTAATTAATTAATGTTTAAGCACCTAGGTCCATGGTGTCCAACTAACTACACTCAACTGGCCAAATAGCCGAATTGTTCAAGCCAACTGGCCACACTCAGCCGTCCAAATATCCACAGGTGGCTAGTAGTCAGCGTGCTAGACACCACCAGACTTACGTGATAACGGCAATAAACAGTAGCAAGAAGCAATAGCCAACATGGATTCTTTTTATAATGGAGTGTAGAGTATGCTAATAAAATCTGCAGATGACATAAAACAGAGATTGCAAGCCATATTGGGGACAGAATCAGATTTCAGAACAATCCTGAGAAACTGAAGAATTGGTATGAAACCAACAAGATGAAATTCAATGAAGACAAGTGCAAAGTACCACATGTGCTGAAGAAAGCAAAATCAAATACGTAACAACAAAATAGAGAATAATTGGCTAGGCAGTAGTACTGCTGAAAAGAATTTGGGGATTATAGTGGATTACAAACTGAACATAAGTCAACTACGTGATGCAACTGCAAAAAAAGTCTAATACCATTCTAGGATATTTTAACAGGAGTGTCAAAAGATACTGGGAGGTAATTTTCTCCTATTATTTTCCACTGGTGAGGCTTCAGCTGGAGTATTATTTCCAGTTGTGGGCACCAACTTTAGGCATGGACAAATTGGAGAGGTTCTAGAGGAGTACAACAAAAGTGATAAAAGGTTTAGAAAAACTGATCTATGGGAAAAGTTTAGCAAAATTGGGTGATTTTAATTCTGAGAAAAGTGAAGGGGAACTTAGCAGAAGTCTTCATATATATGAAGAGTCATTGTAAAGAGGATGATGGTGATCAATTGTTCTTGATGTCCACTGAAGGTAGAACAAGAAATGATCAGGTTAATCTGATGCAAGGGAGATTCAGGTTGGATAGCAGAAAAAAGCTTTCTAACTATAAAGACATTTAAGTATATAGGTGACTCAGGAAGTTTTTGGAATCTCTACAACTAGAGATTTTTAACAGTTAGCTGACGTCCCAAGACAGCCCAGATGGCTGAAATCACAAGTCTTGGCACTTCCCTGTGTGACTTAAACCTTTAGCCCTGCTGCTAAATGCAGGGAGATGATTGTGAGGCTATGCTAGTAAATACTACACTGTTCTTCCAGAAAAAGCTACACAATTGAGAACCACAATTTGCATAGCTTTTTCCGCTTCTTTTTTTGGAAGAGGCTTTTCCTACATTTCGCCCCTCTATACTGGGCCAAACGTCCAGAAAGACCGCCTTTTTCTGAACATCCCTTCTTCCTCATAAAATGGGGTTTACAGGGATGCCGAAAAAGTGCGTCTGCTTTTCCAAAAGCAATTTCGGAGGAGCAGACGCGTTCCCTGTAGCGTAGACATAGCCTGAGATAGACAGAAGTGAGCACCTAAAAAGCAGGAAGGACTATCACAGAAATAGCTCCCACAAACCCAGTCCTTTTTTTATTTTAAATACTGTACTACTTGTTAGTCTAGACTTTTACAAAGTATATGTACACTTAAAGAAATATGTGATATTTTGAACTTTTTGGGATAAAATCTAAATTTGCCAAGCACTGTACAATTTTTCCACAGGATGTAACATCACCTTTTTTATTTCATTTGGATCAGTGAGTAGATGAATTCTAAAATAAAGTGGGCGCATCCCACACCATTATCAGCAATTACATGGTGGCCTCTGGAACTGGTGGGACTTGATTTTTCCCACCTTCTATATCTAAGATTCTAAGAAAGCGGTGCTCTAAGAACACGCACTGACATCAACTGAATTGTTACAAGTAAGGCGAGTGAACCTGAACATTTTAAAAAGGCAGAAAAGGAAATAACTATAAAAAGTGCACAACAGCACATCACAAACAAATGGCTATGTTTTGTCCACATTAACAATCAAGTCCTGTGTCTTCAGGACAAGTGGAAATATACTGAGTTGAAAGTCCAAGTAGCAATGTTCTAGAGAACTATCACCTACTGCTTTTTTGTCATAACAGAACAAGTGACTTAAAAATCTTCCTGTTTAAAAACAATTGCTATGGCTGGTCTATGGAGAACAGAAAAAAAAATCAACTGCTTCTTTGATAAAGATTCAGAATATTTTTCACTAACTCAAAACTTAACCCAGACTTCATGAAGGGAAATAAAATTGATCTAGTATAATTTAAATCCAATTTCTCTTATATCTATTTAGTCATAGAAAATTCAAGTCCCTTTCCCTCTGAATTTAGTTGGAAAATTAGTTTAAATATTTTTAAAAGATTTATATTTACCTGATGATTCTCTGAGCAGCATACTGATGAAGTGAGCGGAACTGTGCTGACATATTTGCTAAGGCTGCCAGACAATTTGTATGAAGGTATTTGTCCTGTTGGAAAAAAGGGGGAAAAACACATCAAACTATCCTTTTCATATATAGTGAGACTTGTCATAAGAAACCACTCAAAGGACTAACAAACATCCGTTGCTTAACAGAGGTGGTCTTCTATGAAGGTGGAGCAGAAATGCACTTTTGTATATTAGACATTGCTTTTAAAATGGTCTCTTCAAATATGAATTTGCCTAATAAGGGTGGTCTCTTGTACAGATTTCAGTGTACATAAATATTTTAAAATAGAAGTTGATACATAATAGGATCAGGAACATAATGGATAAATGGTACTGAAAATCTATATTGTTTTATTTTCTCTCCATTCCTCTGCCTGAATTCTCTCTGGCCTTACCCAACCCTTTTTGCCCTATACTCTTTGACCTCCATATTAATTATTTCAGAACATTCAAAACTGTCTACTACTATTATTAATATGGTACTTCATAAGTTCTGCCCCTATTTAGTTGGTGTTTCTGAAGGCAATTTTAACTGCCACCTTTCCAGATAAAATGTTTAAACACTAGCGCTCTCAGAGAACTGCATAACACTGACAAAACTATGGAATCCACAATTCTATGTCTTATGCAGTATTTATGGATCCTGTTCACAGGAAAAAGGCAAGTAAACATGGACTATGCTACTCCTCAAAGGAAGAGAATAAGTTTTAAGAAGCATATTGGAGGGATTAATTTATTGTAATACTCGGTTGCTCATTGTATACTCACCTTTTGGAGAAAATTAGATTCTCCTCTCCCAGGCTCTTTCTCTAATCATGTTTAACTAACCTCTCTATAACATGGAGCAATGCTTAATCATTTCCTTCATTAAGAAGTTGTTCTTCCTGCTCTAGACTAATATATGCATGTATTCTTCCTAAGAATAACACAGACCTCCCAATGTTACATAAAAATATATCAATTAGAAGGGAAGATTCTTGGAAAACATGAAGTGGCCTCTGACTCATTTTATAACTTATTCTGCCAGTGTCCAAGGAATTAGTATCTGTATTGGAGCAATCAATACAGTAAATTGAAATCAGACATATATTCAAAAATCCACTTACCTGTGCTCCCATTTTCAAAGCATAAAGATCTTCTTGTGAGCAAGAAGATTGATTCAGCATTGTTGGCTAAAATTTACTCATGACTCAGGAAAAAAAAAGTAGGGTGGAGAGGAGGAATGGGAGAACTTCTGAATATACTAGTAAAGCCTCTAACTGAAACCAGAGGGTAGACCTGATAAATATTTGGAATTAAAATGCAACCTATTTAACAAGAAACCATTTATTGGTTAAATAGCTCACAAACCCTTATTTCTGTTTATAAAATCTTACTTGACAAAATATTGCTTACATTTAATTCAGTATAAACTATCAGCTTCCTTTCCTTCCATTCCATTGTGTTTGCTATCTCATGAAAAAGAAATTACAGTCAATTAATGTCTGTTTTAAGATGTTAAAATAAGGGTAGTGTTAAGATAATTATATAGTAATAAAATTATTTGTTTATATGGTGTGACCACATAGAGATGATGATGATTTTGGTTTTAAATTATTTGATCTAATACTATCAACACCATGCTTTAGTTGATTTTATTGCAAAAATTTCTCCACATTTTTAGCAATGAAAGAAATGTGCAAAAGTCTATAATATATTTTACATGTCTGCTATACTCTTTAAAGAAATATTGAGAAACACTTAGAGGATACTTGAGGATCCACAAAATATAAACTAATAGATTTAGAGAAGACAAAAGCGAAATAATGCATGATGAGCAATATCTTTGAAACAACTACGCTTTGCCACAGATCTCTTAATTATATTTATAAGAAAAAGGTTTTTTCTCAGAAAAAAGCATAGTTAGGGTGGAAGAAAAGTACGTTTAACACTCCAGTTTATAAAACTATATAATCAAATAATAAGGAACCAAAATACATACTTCAATATGATTTAATAAAGGTGCAAACTCTCTAGTCTGGCACCTCACTGGTGCCAAACCACGGGAGGTCAGTACTGTCTAGCAGCATTACCAATACTTCCACTGCTTAGTGGGCTCTTAAGACACTTAGGGGTAAATTAGAGATAAACAACAGCACAGAACACTAAGTGGTAGGACTGGTGGCTGTAAACTAGCTTTATGGGATCATGGGAAACTTGGCCACACCCATGATAACTAGACATCCAGCTAAAAAAATCGTGCTGGACCATGGATGTTGCTGGATCAGAGTGTGCTGGACTAGAGAGGTTCAACCTGGATAGGTTAAATATCCTACACTTCATTTAATTATATGGTGTGCTGATACTCTTTTCTGGGAACTATGCAACTATTACTATGCTTGGCGTTTGTATGTTCGTAATTAAAGCAGCTGAACTGAATAATATCACAGAAATTGCTTTACAAATTCAGAAGCACTTCATGCCGTCCCCGAATACTGACCTTTTTTCTGCCTCCTCTGTGTTTATGTTTTATTCCGGAAAGGGTTCCTTTTGTGTTTTTTGCTTTTTAGTTTTTTACCACTGTTTGGAACTGAACTCCAGCTGATAGAAGACTGCAGATATATATACACTACATCTGTAAGATTTAAATAAAACTCTTACCCTTGTCCTTGTCATGTTGTACTGAATGGTTCTTATCACGACCAATATCAAAAGACTCCCCAGTGAAATTTCAGTTAGAACACGCTCTGAATACCAAGTGATATTTTTCAATATCTGCAACAAGGAAAAATACAGCTTTGAACACCAAGTTTCAATTGTGAATGAGATGACAAAATCATGCAGTTCTTTGGCTCTCACTTCACTGAAGACATGTAAATTAGCCTCTAAGTTCAATACATTAAAATGTATCGTATTCCAGATTTTCAAAGGGTGTCGCAGTAATCTCCAACTTGAAGATTTCATGTGGAAAAGGCGTGAAGAAGAGATATGTGAATGAAAAATTACCGGTGTGTTGAACTAATTTTAATTTGTGCACGCATACATATATACACCTATGCCAAAGTAAACCTGTATTGAAGATTATTTAAGGGACCAGCAAAGATCAGTTGCTTACCATGACTAGAGTGCCTATGTTCTATGTGCAGCACAAATAAAGTAATAATAGCAATAGCTCACTAAAGGAGAAGAATCCTACTCAGGACATTTGGGAATACTCTGGACAGACTAATGAAACAGGAAGTTGTCCAATAAGGGTGGTTAAATGTAGAGATTTTACTCTATGTAAGTGAAAGTTATAAGTATGAGTTAAGGTTCAATGCAAAAAATGAGATTTACAAAAAAAATGTGTAGCACCATAAAATGCATAAACAAAATCTATACAGTAGTTTCACAATTTATTAGCTAACCTGCTCTTTTAAGAGACTAGTCAAAAATATCCTCAAATTAAGCATACTGTTCAGCTTAATTTTTATTATTAATACTAGAAGATTCATCTGGTGTTGCTTAGGTCCTTAACTCGGTTTTTGTTTTTCTTAATTGAAATCATTGCGCTGGGGATGAGTGGTTCAGTATGAAGCCCTCTCTCACCACAGCAGCTTGGGGCTAGGGATGTGAACAAGTAATGGATGATGATTACTGGGTAATGGTTAACCTTTACCTGGGAGCAATACCCAGCCTGCTAAGGCTGTTCCAGGCCCACGGGGCTCCCAGCACACACAGACTGGGAGTCAGCAGCCCAGTGTGGGTCAGGAAGCAAACAGGCTGGAGCCACCCTACCCGTGGTGAGGAGGCCCCTCCAGCCCACCCCTTTTTAATTAGTTAACCAGTTAAACTTATTGTTTAATTGGTTAACTAATTAAATGGGATTTTAAATCCCTACTTGTGGCCAGGGGGGAAGTGCCTCTCCATGGCTGCTGCAGCACCAGTGGGGCACAGCTGGGGGAGGGGTGCATGATCCTCAGCTGGGGCTGGTCTAAGTTCATCTGCCCCTTGTGCTCCACAGCCAGATTGAGGAATGAAACAAACTGCACTTCCCCCTCATTCCCTGATGAAGGGGAACAGCCAGCAATGTTCCTGTATGCAGGGGCGGCCCGTGACTATAGGCCGATTTGGCTGTCGCATAGGGCGCCACCTTCAACGGTGCCCAGGACGCCCAATGATGACATCACCCCACTGATGGCCGTGCAGGCGGGGGCGCCGATCACGTGTTCTGCCTGGGTCGCCTGCTGCCGCAGCCCGCCTCAGGCCACTCCTGCCTGTCTGAATGAGGGGTACCTGGTGGGGTGGTAAGCTTGGGGCTGGGGCACTTCCAGATCGGAGTGGAGGGGGACATGCCCCCAGGCAGCCCCTTTTACTTGGTGATTCTGTTTCTTTTCTGTATGGTTCTATGCATCCCCGAATGCATAAGGGATGGGACTGAACCCTCCTCCCCCCTCCATAACCAAACGCTTACCTTGCTTTAAGTTACAATAAGAGGAAGCTGTATACCAAATTTGGTGGTCCTAACTGATTAGGAGGAGTTCTTGAACAAACAAACAAACAAACAAACGGCTGGATGGACAGACAGGTGCTCTAGCTCACAGACAAAAACACTCTAAAATATGTTATATTATTAATATAAACAGCCACACCGTTAAAGGAACAGAATTGTCAGCCTCTGAATGGTCACTTGTGACAGGTTTAACTCAACATTAGTAACAAAATGAAACAAGGAATGGTCTCATTTAAAAAAAAAAAAGCCAGCACAAAATTCCAAATACATCAGTTTAACACAGATAGAATTTCAGTTTTACCAGGAAAGATCCACGGAGCTACATCAGAAACATTTTAGACTAAATCCACACTGAACAAAAAACTCGCACTATCCAACCTAGAACGAGCTACGCTAAAGGAGTGAGTTCTCTGCACCTTTTTATCTGCTATGCATCTTGATGGTGTACAGTTTACAAATTAAATAAGAGTCCATAGAGAAGTCTATGCCACAAGCAACAGCAGAGACCATGGCCACCTTTTGCTTCTCCAGCTGGAGTTTTAAGGAATTGTTACGACTCATTTTATTCACTAGATTCTCCTCCATGTCCAGCACCAGATCATCTTTTATAAAGTATTGAATTGAAAGCTTTCAGGCTCAGCTGCCCCCTTAAAAGTACTATTTTGTGCATCTATGCTATACCCCAGGCACTTCCTTCCTGTAATTAAACTTCTAGTTTAAGAATCAAATTAAAAGCAGCTCTTGGCAGAGCTCAAAATGGACTGGTATGGACCAACGTATCAGCACTTCAGTGACTCCTGAGGCTTCAGCTATTCTTCAGGAAGCCCAGGATGTATCGAAGTTCTATATCCTACTTCAAAGTTAGGGATATCACCACTGGGTCGCCTTCCCTATAGCACTGAGGCCAATCCAGCCTAATATCTACTTTCATCCTAGTAGAAGGAGCCCTGCATAAGGAATAGGAGGGTGAGAAGGTGGGAGAATATGCAGTGGCAATATCTCTTCTTTAGATGGCACCAAAAAAGGCCAATACTCTTCCTTTTCTAAGTGAAAGTTCTTCAGATGACAAACAGTTTTACCCGTTCTAAAGTAGCAGCAACAAAATTTACTCCTCTGGTCTTCTGATTTTTACAGCCTGTAGAGTAATAGTCTTTGGGGGAAATCTTTCTGACATGAAGGGGCAGGTCAATAGAATGTACAAAAACTCAAAAAATAATATCAAAATGTTTTTTAAATACATCAGAAGCAGGAAGCCAACTACACAACAAGTGGGATTCTTGATCGAGACGCTAAAGGGGCACTCAAGGATGATAAAGTCATTTCAGAGAAGCTAAATGAATGTTTTGCTCCAGTCTTCATGGCTGAGGATATTGGGGAGATTCCCAAACCTGAGCCATTCTTTTTAGGTGACAGATCTGAGGAATTGTCCCAGATTGAGGTGTCAGTAGAGGTGGTTTTGGGACAAACTGATAAATTTAACAGTAACAAGTCACCAGGACTGGATGGCATTCACCCAAGAGTTCTGAAAGAACTCAAATGTGAAATTGCGGAACTATTAACTATGGCTTGTAACCTATCCTTTAAATCAGCTTCCTTACCTAATGACTGGAAAATAGCTAACAAAATGCCTATATTTAAAAAGAGCTCTTGAGGTGATCCTGGCAATTACAGACCAGTAAGTCTAATGTCAGTACCAAGCAAATTAGTTGAAACTATCGTAAAGAATAAAAGTGTCAGTGACATGGATGAATATAATTTGTTGGGGGAAGTCAACATGGTTTCTGTAAAGGGAAATCATGCCTTACTAATCTGCTAGAGTTCTCTGAGGGGGTCAACAAACATGTGGACAAGGGTGGTCTAGTGGATATAGTATACTTAGATGTCCAGAAAGTCTTTAACAAGGTCCCTCACCAAGTCTCTGAAGTAAAGTAAGTTGTCGTGGGATAAAAGGGAAGGCCCTTTCATGGATTGATAACTGAGTATAAGACAGGAAACAAAAGGTAGGAATAAATGGTAAGTTTTCTGAGTGGAGAGAGGTAACTAGGGGGGTCCACCCAAGGGTGTGCCCTGGGACCAATCCTATTCAACTTATTTATAAATTATCTGAAAAAAGGGGTAAACGGTGAGGTGGCAAAATCTGCAGAGATACCAAATTGCTCAAGATAATTAAGACCAAAGCAGACTGTGAAGAGCTTCAAAAAGATCTCACCAAACTAAGTGACGGGGCAACAAAACGGCTAATGACATTTAATGTTGATAAATGTAAAGTAATGCACACTGGAAAAAAAGTCCCAACTATACATACAATATTATGGGGACTAATCTGGCTACAATTACTCTAGAGAGAGATCTTGGAGTCATCGTATATAGTTCTCTGAAAACATCCACTCAGTGTGCAGTGGCAGTCAAAAAAGCAAATTCCCTCTGAGGGGGAGGGAATGCCAGTTGTTAGGAAGAGGCAGGTGTTAGTAGTGGTTGATTCAATTGTTAGAAACATAGATAGTTGGGTTTGTGATGATCGGGAGAACCATATGGTCACTTGCCTGCCTGGTGCAAAGGTTGCGGATCTCTCGAGGCAACTAGATAGACTTATGTGTAGTGCTGGGGAGGAGCCGGTGGTCGTGGTACATGTAGGTACCAATGACGTAGGGAAGGGTAGGAGAGATATCCTCGAGGCCAAATTTAGGCTGCTAGGAAAGAGATTGAAACCCAGGACATTTACAGTGGCATTCTCGGAAATGCTTCCAGTTCCATGCACAGGTGCAGGTAGGCATGCAGAGCTTCAGAGTCTTAATGCGTGGATGAGATGATGGTGTAGGGAGGAGGGGTTTAGATTTATTAGGAACTGGGGACACTTTTGGGAGAGAGGGAGCCTATACAGAAAGGATGGGCTCCACCTAAACCAGGGTGGAACCAGACTGCTGGCACTAAACATTAAAAAGACCGTAGATCAGTTTTTAAACTAAGAGATGGGGAAAGCCGATTGGTGCGGAGATGCATGTAAATCGGAGGGAGACTTCTCTTACAGGAGAATCCATTGATAGAGATTCTCTAAGCTACAGTCTGAAAGAGAGGAGGGGAGAGGACAAACCATGGGCCAGAGCAGACAAACAACCGCATATAAATGAATCCAATGCATCAAGGAAGCGCAGACAAATAAGCAGTGGCAAATTCTACACAAATGCTAGGAGTCTGACTAATAAGATGGGTGAACTCGAGTACCTCGTATTAAAGGAGGAGATTGATATAATAGGCATCACTGAAACCTGGTGGAATGAGGAAA